TGGGCGCAGTGGCTGATGCCTGTAATCCCAGCAATTTGGGAGACCAAGGCAGGCAGATCACGAGGTTAAGAGATGGAGAACACCCTGGCCAACCTGGTGAAACCCCATCTCTACTAAAAATACAAAAATTAGCTGGCTGTGGTGGCGCGCACCTGTAGTCCCTACTACTCAGAAGGCTGTGACAGGAGAATTGCTTGAACCCAGAAGGCAAAGGCTGCAGTGAGCTGAGTTCATTCCACTTCACTCCACCCTGGTGCCTGGCAACAGAAAGAGACTCTGTCTCAAAATAACGAAAAGAAGTAATAAATATTTACTGTTTTAGGCTACTAAAATTGGGGTTTGTTACACAGCAAAAGCTAACTAGTGTATGTGGGAAATGCAATAAAAGACTTTATGTAGTGGAAGTAAAGCATCCTAAAAAGGTATAATTCATTCACGCCCTCAAATTTCTGTGTTTCATATCCTAAATCACTACTGATGATTGTAGAATGTTTTTAATCTGTGTATCTGAGTAATCTTCATTTAAAAGACTGATGTGTGACCTGAAGTCCTTTCTACAATGAATAGAGCAATAAAGAGATAGAGAAATCAAATAGCAAAATAAAGAATTTTGCTGTGCTGTTCTAGACACAGCTGCCCTAATAGAGAAATGTGCAGTTTCTACTTTCCTTGCAGTTTTTCAGTACAGAATTACTTTAAAATAAATCCCAATGAAAGCAGTAATCAATTATGTCAAGAAGAAAACAAAGTTTGATCTGAAAATACTAACAGAATCTAACATTTTAGAAATAAATTACCATGTCATGTCCTGTGGCAACATTGTATCAAATTGCTTAAAGATAAATTGTATAATCAACTCCTGAGTCTCTGCATGTGGCTTATTCTTTTTGTAGATTATCAAAGACAAACATTTAATTTCAGGTTTTCATTGCTCTTTTTCTCCACATTTTTTTCCCTTTATATTTTTCTACTAGCTTTCTTTCTACTATCAGTCACAGTATACTAAAAAGAACAGAAATTTAGTGAACACAATGATAATTCACTTACTCTGTATCCTAGAAGAATAAGGTGTTCAATGTAAGTAAATTTCAGAGTAAGCCTAAAAGTTATCCAAACACCTTTGCTTTAAAAGAAAAAAAAGGTCGGGCACGGTGGCTCACGCCTGTAATCCCAGGCTGAGACGGGTGGATCACAAGGTCAAGAGATCGAGACTATCCTGGTCAACATGGTGAAACCCCATCTCTACTAAAAAAACAAAAAATTAGCTGGGCATGGTGGCACGTGCCTGTAATCCCAGCTACTCAGGAGGCTGAAGCAGAAGAATTGCCTGAACCCAGGAGGCGGAGGTTGCGGTGAGCCGAGATCGCGCCATTGCACTCCAGCCTGGGTAAGAAGAGCGAAATTCCATCTCAAAAAAAAAACAAGCCTGTGACCATTCTGGTATACATATTTCTAAAATATATTTTATATTTTCCTTTCTTATGAAAGAGTGTTCTTCATTCCTTAAATAAATCTTTATTGTACAAGATGCTTTAACAGATTTAAAAGGATGCAAAGGACAGGCACGGTGGCTCACACCTGTAATCCCAGCACTTTGGGGGACGGGGTGGGTGGATCACAAGGTCAAGTGATTGAGACCATCCTGGCCAACATGGTGAAACTCCATCTCTACTAAAAATACAGAGATTAGCTGAGCGTGGTGGCATGTGCCTGTAGTCCCAGCTACTAGGGAGGCTGAGGCAGGAGAATCTCTTGAACCCAGGAGGAAGAGGTTGCAATGAGCTGAGATAGAGCCACTGCACTCTAGCCTGGTGACAGAGGGAGACTCCATCTCAAAAAAAAAAAGGATGCAAAAGTGAATCAAAACAGTATTCCAACCTCAAGTGCCTTACAATTGAAGGAGGCAGGATGGATAGGATGGATAATAATTAGACATGTACACAGGTAATTCTAGTGGTAAGAATCATAAGAATGGTAAAGACAAAGCAATAAGTAAATTAAAATAAAATGTTGAGTTTCCTTAGTGACACTAGACAAGGTTTTGTTAGGCTGGATCTTGAGGGCAAACGAGCTGGAACTAGGGTGAAGCAAGTGAGGCACTTGCCCCAGTGCAAAATTTAAGGGGGTACCAAAAAACTCAGTAATCAAGATACACCATATTTTGGTGGATTGTTTTTAAAAATAAAAATTAATCAAAAAATAGTAATGATGAACAAAATATCAGAATTTTAAATAGACTGGATCAATAACAGTACCATCCAGAGTCATATTAGAGCCTGAGGCAAAAGGACAGATTAATAAAAACTTATTTGAGTTGGTGACTAGAAGAGCCCACTAACTAGAAACTTATTTTTAAAATTAGTCTACTGTGAAAAAATAATGGTCCACTGTAAGATATTATAATATTTGTCATTGCTTGCCTCTTTCTATAACTTCGTGTGCCACACCCTGAGCAGAATATTGAGGAAGTAGATTACATGCTATGACACCTTGCTGATAGGTGCAGATGCTGGCCTCGTGCACTTTCTCTCCTAACCAATCAGGATTTAGATGGAATCTGAAAACTGATCCCAACCATAAAGTTGTAAATCTGAATATTGGGTCAGAATTATACTGCTCTAACAATTACATGAATGCATTTTTTTCTATACTTTCTGCCAGAGACACCTCTCTCTAGACACTCTAAAGTATGCATCTGCCTTGTGGGGAATTAGGATTGTTAAACAGAAATGCAAAGAGAAAGAAAGCTATAATTTGGCTTCTGATTTGGACAATAAGACTCTTAAATACGCAGCAAGACTTAAAAAAGAAAAGGCATTTCTAAGTTCTCTTATTGCCCTCCTTTAATTTATCCAGAGAAGAACTGACTAAAATAGAGTCTTCTCCATAGGATAAGTACCCTGTCTATCTTTGGCCGAGGATGTGGGGCTTACTGCCTTAGGTAAGAAGGGTACAATACATAGAAAGTGAAATGTCCAACATTTGCTGATTCTGACACAAAGAGATTTAGGGAGGAGAGAAACAAGAAAGGAAACAGATAAGCTTTTCTCTGAAAATGGCAAGTTTCAGAGTTGGGGAAATGAAAAGACCAGAGGGGGATTTTCCAAATTCAATTCTAAGGAGCAGGAAAGCCCCGTCTTTTCATTTCAAGTTCTCGAGTTGGGACTACCTTGGGAAATAAGAACACTACAGCACTCTCCTTCAGGGTCAGGCTGAAGCTACCATTCACCTGACTTTCCTGACATTGTACCATTGCTTGGCTGGCTCCCTGTCCATGTCCAGCTTCTTCTATTCTCTCTCTCTCTTTTTTTTTGAGAAGGAGCCTTGCTCTGTTGCCCAGGCTGGAGTGCAGTGGCGCAATCTTGGCTCACTGCAACCTCTGCCTCCTAGGTTCAAACAATTCTCCTGCCTCAGCCTCCCAAGTAGCTGGGATTACAGGTATCCAACACCATGCAAAGCTAATTTTTGTATTTTTAGTAGAGACATGGTTTCACCATGTTGACCAGGCTGGTCTCAAACTCCTGACCTCAGGTGATTAGCCCACCTCGGGCTCCCAAAGTGTTAGGATTACAGGCATGAGCCACAGTGCCTGGCCGCTTCTTCTGTTCTCTTACTGGATCTATTTGTTGCTCTTGTTCTTTTTGAGCTACTTGAGATGAATGCCCAATGTATTTGTTTTTATTCTTTTCAATGTAATAACATTTAAGTCTATGAAATTTCCTCTGAGTGCAGTTATGATGTAATGCTGTGAGTTTTAATATACTATTCATACAGTCTTATGTTTCTGCATATTCTATAATTACCATCTTGATGTCCTCTTTGACCTACGAGGTAAATTGGAAGACTATTTTATAATGTTCAAGTGTTGAAGTTTCTATTTGGTTAAGTATCAATAGATATGAAAACACATCCCCATAAAATCCTGTAACTGAATATAGCAGCATTATTCATAATAGTCAAAAAGCGGAAACAATCCAAATGTCCATTACTGATTAATGAATGAAATGAAATGTGGCGGCCAGGGGCCTTTGAAAAAGTACAAAGTCAGCTGGGCGCAGTGGCTCACGCCCGCAATCCTAGCACTTTGGGAGACCGAGGCAGGAGGATCATGAGGTCAAGAGATCAAGACCATCCTGGCCAACATGGTGAACGCTGTCTCCACTAAAAGTATAAAAATTAGCCAGGCATGGTGGTGTGTGCCTGTAATCCCAGCTACTTGGAAGGCTGAGGCAGGAGAATTGCTTGAACCCAGGGGGCGGAGGTTGCAGTGAGTCAAATCACGCCACTGCACTCCAGCCTGGCCACAGAGCAAGACTCAGTCTCAAAAAATAAATAAATAATAATTTTTTAAAAAATGAAATGTGCCAATCCGTAAAATGAAATATTATTTGGCAATAAAAAGGTATGAAGTGTTGATAGGTACTACAACATAAATGGACCTTGAAAACATTTTCCTAAGTGAAAGATGCCTGTTACAAATGATCACATATTGTATGGTTTCATTTATATAAAATGTCAAGAATAGGCAATTCTGTAAATAGAAAAAATAGATTAGTGGTTGTCAAGTCAGAGGGACAAAGTGAATGTGGGAGTAACTGCTATTGAGTATGGAGCTTCTTCTTGGGATGCTGAAAATTATACAATAAGACAGTGGGTATGGTTACACAACTTTGAGAATTGCTTGGACCCAGGAGGTGGAGATTGCAGTAAGCCGAGATCACGCCACTGCACTCCAGTCTGGCCACAGAGTGAGACTCAGCCTCAAAAAAGATAAATAAATAAATAATTCATTTCTTCTTCTTGGGATACTAAAAATCACTGAATTGTAAACCTTAAGAGTGAATTTTATATGACATAAATTATATTTCAAGGATGCTGTTATGTAAACACAAAAAATACTGTTGTAGCACAAATATTTAAAAATTAGTTTATCCTATATTCATGTAATCTGAAGAAAGAAGTCACCAGAAAAAAAAAGTATAGCTGGAGAAATATTTTTTTACTTTTTTTTGACAGAATTTTTAAAAATATAACATACATACATAAAATTGCAGAAATTATGTGAACAACTTGTTAATGGGGCAAAAATGCAAATACATTACTAAAATATCTAATAAAATAATTTGGGCCAAGGTGTTAAGAACAGAAATAGTCCAGCCATTGCTCAGTGAGGTGATATCCTGGGACTTCTGCCTTGGGCAAGCAGTGAAGGCAAGAGGGAGGAGGTCATCCAGTCATGAATACATGAGGCTTAATTTCCGAGAATATATACAGAACTCCTGCAACTCAACAAAAGAAAGACAAACAATCCAATTAGAAAATGGGCAAAGAACTTGAACAGACGTTTCTCCAAAGAAGATATACAAATGGCCAATAAGCACAAAAATACTTAATATAATTAGTTATCAGGGAAATGCAAATCAAAATGACAATGACATACCACTTCACAATTATTAGGATGGCAATAAACAAACAAACAAGAAAATAACAAGTGTTGGCAACCATGCAAAGAAATTAGACCATTATAGATTGCTGGTGGGAATGTAAAACCATAAAGCCACTATGGAAAACAGTTTAGCAGTCCCTTAAGAGATAAACAGAATTACTATAAGACCCAGCAATTCCACTTCTAAATATATACACAAAAGAACTGAAAACAGGAACTCGAGCAGATATTTGTATGACAAGTTCATTGCAGTATTGTTCGCATTGGCATAAAGAGAAAACAACCCAAGAGTTCAATGACAGATGAATGAATAAACAAAAAATGTAATATATCTCTTATCTATACAATGGGAATTATTAATACATAAAAATGAATGAAATTCTGACACATGCTACAACATAAATGAAACTTTAAAACGTTATGCTAAATGAAATGAGCCAGACACAAAAGGGCAACTACTATATGACTTACTTGTATGAGATCTCTAGAATGGGCAAATTCACAGAGATAGAAAGTGATTCGAGGTTACCAGCAACTGGAGTGGAGTGAGAGGAAAATTGAAAGTTATTGGGTACAGAGTTTCTCTTTAGGTTTTTAAATTTTTTCTTTTTTCTTTTCTTTCCTTTTCTTTCTTTCTGTTTTTTTTTGTTTGTTTGTTTGAGACCAGGCTGGAGTGCAATGGTGCAATCTTGGCTCACTGCAACCTCCACCTCATGGGTTTAAGCAATTCTCCTGCCTCAGACTTCTGTGTAGCTGGGATTACAAGTGTCCGCCACCACACCCAGCAAATTTTGAAAAAATTTTTCATAGAGATGGGGTTTCACCATGTTGACCAAACTGGTCTCGAACTCCTGACCTCAGATGATCCACCCGCCTCAGCCTCCCAAAGTGCTGGGATTACAGGCATGAGCCACCATGTCCAGCCAAATTTTTTCTTTTTCTTTTTTTTTGGTTTTTTTTTTTTTTTGGAAATAGATAGTGGTGATGGTTGCACAACATTGTGAATGTGATTAATGCCACATAATGTAAAATTGGTTAAAATGGCAGGTTTTATGTCTTTTACCACAAAAAAATTTAAATCCATGAAGCAAACAACTTCATGTACTATCTTCTCTAAATTTTCATTGTCAGACAAATGTCACTGAAATTAACAGGCAATGTGCAGTTCCTACTGATGGGCACAAGGAATGGATTATTAATCTATGCTAAAGGCCAAATAAAAATGTTATCTAATATAAATATTACCACCAGATGGTATTAGTTTACAGGACACTTTGCAGATTACTTTGAATTCCAAACCAGGCTTTACAGACCACCCATCTAGAAGAAAATGTATTATGGAACGTAGATGCTCTGATTTTAAAAAGATGAATTTCTATTTCCCTTCTTATTTAATTACATTCTCCTTTAGACAATCTTATAATATGTGGATTTATTAGAGCTGAGATTAGTTTTCAAAAAGAAAATAAACACAGGAGGTAATGTGACCTTTGAGTAAAAATTCAATTTAATTTGTTATTGTTCATAATTACCATCTTAAAAGAAAAACCCACAAGTTCTGACTCTCTCACATTTTTATATTATTACCCAGGTCATCATAATATATATTATTTAGATACTGCTAATAGATTCCAGTAAAATTTTTGAAACATGGGAATACAGGTAACATTTTTTCAAATTGCTGGTCTTTTTTGATGATGAATATATATTCAATCATGCAAAAAAAGTATTTAGCAGCCCATTAGAAATTCAGATGCGGAAATTCTTTTCATACGATCTGTAGAAATGGACTAATAGAGATAATAGGAACAGAGAAAGATAAACGACATCATGTTGGATATTCAATAATCCACTACTCAAAGATAAAGTTTTCTAATAACCATTAAAATGAAAATAAAAGAATATATAAATTTTAATTTAGCATAGCATTGTATTACATCATAGCTTATGAGAGGTTTCCAAGGAATCTAGCAACAGATAGATTACTGGTCACTTGCTAAGAATTTGGAAATCCCAAAGGTACAGAAAACTTTATTGCCTCAAAAAGATTTTTTAAAAAAAAGAAGTTACATTCCCTGTCATAAAAACCTGATAAAGAACTGTTATAAACTTAGGCACTTCTGAATAAAATTGCAGGTAAGAAAGCCAATTATTTTCATAGGGAGAATAAATTTTCCTATGACAATTCAAATAAAACTGGTAAATGGACAAATGCCTTAATAAAAGGGTAAGAGAAGGCTCAACATAACAGCAATTTATCCAAAACAAGGGGACATAATGAAAAAAGAGATAAGAAATATCTTTAAGGCATATTATAAGAGAATACAAATCTAAACCCTGGTAAATGTGGTTTATCTTTAGAAAGTTTGGAGGAAGGAATTTTCTTTCTTCTTAAATGTTAATTTGTTTAAAGATGAAAGATGACATCAGTAAGATGGCTGAATAGAAGTTCCCAACATAGTTTCCTAGCAGAAGCATCAATTTGAAAAACTACTCACACTAAAATGCTTTCCCAAGAGCTAAAGAATCTAAGCAAGAGAATATACCACCTGGGTGGAGCACAGAAATAAAAAAAGATGCGCTAAAGAGGGAAGGAAAGGACAGTTTTACATTGAGCAAGCATGCTACGCCTCTCCTAAGGCCAAATAGCACTGTGTGGAGAAAGTCACTTTCTCTCTCCTTTACATGGCAAATGGAGAGTGAAATGAGCACAAGACTTTGCTGCAAACCCCAGCACCAGGTCCTCCTCAGTGAACCTTGGCAGTAGGCCAGCTCCTGCAATCTCAGGCTTCAGGCCTACCCCAGCACCAGGACATAATTTATGGTCCAGGCTCCAGGCCCACCGCAGGGACTCTGACTCTGAGGCTTCCCTAGAGCCAGACTAAACCCTATAGCCCCAGATTCCAGTCTGTCTACAATGGACTGAGGCTCCAAGCCAGTGCCCACACCTAGGCTAGAGGCCCACCCAAGTAGACTTTGGCACTGCACCAGCCCCAGGAAACCCAGGATTCAAGCCCACAACTATGGTCTGAGCTGGTTCCCAGGAACACAGGTGCCAGGCCCACCCAGTAGATCCTAATGACTCTGGTGGTCACACAACCCAGTCCATCCCGGCAACTCAGACTCAAGACCCACCTCAATACCAGGTCAGCACCCTTGGAACTAGGCTTAAGTCCAGGCCCTGTGGACATAAGGTACAGGAACACAGTCATCAGGTCCACTCCAATGGACACCAGCCCAAGGTCAGTTGCCATAGATAAGGGGCTTAACCCATGAATGCAGGCACCAGGCTGATCTTTACAGATCCAAATGTCAGGTATATCTGCCCACTAACTTAGTCACTAGGCCATGCCACTGAAAAAAACAGCAGTAAGTTCAACTATGAACCCCACCAGAGGTCCTTTTCAGAATCTCTCTATGAGCTAACTGATGAAGGGTCGTCCATGCCAAAGCAATTCTGTATTGACTAGAAGAGGTACTTACTTTTTCAAATGCACAGACATCAATAAAAAAGTCACAAAGATCATAAATAATCAGGAAAACATGGCATCAACAACAACAACAAAAAAATAGAAAACCATTACCCGACTCTAAAGAAATGAAGATGTAGCTAGGCATGGTGGCTCATGCCTGTAAGCCCAGCACTTTGGGGGCCAAGGTGCGTAGATTGCTTGAATCTGAGATCAGGAGTTTGAGACCAGCCTGGGCAACATGGCAAAACCTTGTCTCTACAAAAAATACAAAAATTAGCCAGATGTGCTGGCATGCACCTTTGGCCCCAGCTACTCAAAAGGCTGAGGTGGGAGGATTGCTTGAGCCCAGGAGGTTGAGGCTGCAGTGAGTCATGATTGTGCCACTGCACTACAGCCTAGGCAACAGAGTAAGACCCTTTCTCAACAACAACAAAAGAAAGAAAAAAGGAAGGGAAGAAGGAAGGAAGGAAAGAAGGAAGGAGAAAAAGAAAAAAAAAACAAATAAGATTTATGAACTGCCTGATAAAGAATTCAAAATAATTGTCTTAAACTGGCTCAATGAAATGTATGAGAACACAGATAGACAGTTAAACAAAATCAGAAAAACAATGCACGATCAAAGTTAGAAGTTCAACAAAAAATACAGAGAACATAAAAAAAGAACCAAAAGAAAATTCTGGAGCTGAAGAACACAATGATTAAACTGAAAAATTGCATAGACAGCTTCCACAGCAGACTCAATCAGGCAGAAAAAGAATCAGTGAGCTTAAATGACAGGTCATTTGAAATTATCCAGTCAGAGAGAGAGAAAAAGAAAAAGAGTGAAGAAATTTTGAGAGACTTAAGAGACAATATCAAGTGAACCAGTTTTTCAATAAGGCAGAAAAAGAATCAGCGAGCTTAAATGACAGGTCATTTGAAATTACCCAGTCAGAGAGAGAGAAAAAGAAAAAGAGTGAAGAAATTTTGAGAGACTTAAGAGACAATATCAAGTGAACCAGTTTTTGCACTGTGGAAGTGTAAGAAGCAGCACAGAAAGAGAGAGAGGAGAAAGCTTATTTAAACAAATAATGACCAAAATTTTCCCAAATTTGAAAAGTGAAGAGAACATCTAGTTCCATGAAGACCAAGAACCTCAAACAGATTAAATATAAAGAGATCTTCACTGTCACACATTATAATCAAATTCTCGAAAGTAGAGGCAACAGGGGAATTTTGAAAGCAGAAAGAGAAAAATGACTCACCACATACAACAGAACATCCATTAAACTATCAGTGGATTTTTCAAGAGAAACTTCATGGATTAGGAGAGTGTGGAATGATATATATTCAGAGTGAGTGCTAAAAGGGAAAAGAAAAACACTGCCAACCAGGAATACTATATACCTGACAAAGCTGTTTTTCCAATTTGAAGAAGAGATTTCCAGACAAACAAAAGCTATGGGAATTCATTACCACTATATCTGCCTTATAAGAAATGCTACTGGGAGTTCTTTAAGTTCAAATAAAAGGATACTAACTAACATCATGATAACATATTAAGGCAGGCACTATGGCTCACACCTGTAATCCCAGCACTTTGGGAGGCCAGGACAGGAAGATCACTTGAGCCCAGGAGTTTGAGACCAGCCTGGGCAACATAGCAAAACCCCATCTCTACAAAAAATAGAAAAAAATTAGCTGGGCATGGAGATGCCCACCTGTAGTCTCAGCTACTCAGGAGGCTGAGGTGGAAGGATCACTTCAGCCAGGAGGTAAAGGCTGCAGTAAGCTGTGATTGCACCACTACATTCCAGCCTGGGTGACAGAATGAGATAAGAAAGAAAGGAAAGAGGAAGGAAGGAAGGAAGGAAGGAAGGAAGGAAGGAAGGAAGGAAGGAAGGAAGGAAGGAAGGAAGGAGGGAGGGAGGGAGGGAGGGAGGGAGGGAGGGAGGGAGGGGGAGGGGAGGGGAGGGGAGGGGAGGGGAGGGAGGGAGGGAGGGAGGGAGGGAGGAAGAGAGATCACGTCACTGCACTCCAGCCTGGGTGATAGAGTGAGACTCCATCTCAAAATAAATACATTAATTAATTAATCAATTAAACGAATAAATTTTAAAAATTCTAAAATTCATATCGAACCTAAAATGAACCCACATAGCCAATGCAAGACTAAGCAAAAAGAACAAATCTAGAGGCATCACATTACCCAACTTCAAACTATGCTACAAGACTATAGTTACCAAAACAGCATGATATTGGTATACAAGCAGGCATGTAGAACAATGATACAGAATAGAGAACCCAGAAATAAAGCCAGACACAGCCAACTGATCTTCAAGAAAGTAAACAAAAACATAAAGTGGGGAAAGGACACCCTAGTCATCTAATGGTGCTGGGATAATTGGCAAACTTCATTGGTGAATTCTACCAAACACTTAAAGAAGAGTTAATGCCTACAAAACACTGCTGAATGAAATCACAGATTATACAAATGGAAAAATATTCCATACTCATGGATTGAAAGAATGAATAATATTAAAATAAGCATATTGCCAAAAGCAGTCTACAGATTCAATGCTCTTCCTCTCAAATTACCAATGTCATTTTTCATAGAATCAGAAAAAAACTATTTTAAATTGAATGTGGAACTAAAAAAGAGTTGTGTAGCAAAAGCAATCCTAAGCAAAAAGAACAAAGCCAGAGGCATCAGATTATCTCACTTCAAACTGTACTGTAGGACTACGGTAATCAAAGCAGTGTGGTACTGACACAAAAGCAGACACATAGACCAGGGTAACAGAATAGACAACCCAGAAAGAAAGCCACACGCTTACCACCATCAGATCTTAGGCAAAATCAACAGAAATAAGCTATAGGCAAAGGACTCCCTTGTCAATAAATACTGCAGAGATAACTGGTTAACCATATGAAGAAGAATGAAACTGAGCTTCTAGCTTTTACCGTACATAAAAACTAACTCAAGATAGATTAAAGATTTAAATATAAAGCCTCAAACTGTAAGAGTTCTAGAAGAAAATCTAAGAAACATTATTCTGGACATGAGCTTTGGGAAGGAATTTATGACTAAGTCTTCAAAAGCAATTGCTAACAAAACTAAAATTGACAAATGGGACCTAATTGAACTGAAGAACTTCTGTATGTAAAAGAAGCTATTAACAGAATAAACAGACAACCCACAGAATGAAAAAAAAAGTGTGCAAACTATGCATCCAACATAGGTCTGATATCCGAATCTGTAAGAAAGATAAAGAATTGAACAAGCAAAACACAAATATAAAATATGCAAAATGTGTAAACCTCATTAAAAAATCAGCAAAACATATGAACAGATGCTTCTAAAAAAAAGACATACAAGTGACCAAAAAACATATGAAGAAATATTCAACATCACTAATTATCAGAGAAGTGCAAATTAAAACCAGAATAAGATATACCATCTTATACCAGTCAGAATTGCTACTATTAAAAAGTCAAAAAATAACAGATGCCGGCAAAGCTGTAGAGAAAAGGGAACACTTATTCACTGTTGGTAGCAATGTAAATTAGCTCAGCTACTGTGGAAAACAGTTTGGTGATTTCTCAAAGAACTCAAAACACAACTACCATTTAACCCAGCAATCCCATTACTGGGTATATAACGAAAGGAAAATAAATTATTTTACCAAAATTACACGTGCACTCATATGTTCATTGCAACATTATTCACAATGGCAATGACATGGAATCACCCAAAATGATCATCAATGGTCATATATCTAATATGGGGTTAATATCTGAAATATATAAGGAATTCAACTCAATAGCAATAAAACAGGAGAAGGTTTTGAGTAGACATCTCTCAAAAGAAGATATAAGAGTGACTAAGAGGTATATGAAAATACATTCAATATCACCAGTCATCAGCGAAATGCAAATCAAAACCAGGATGAAATATCATTTCACACCTGTTAGAATGGCTATCTTCATAAAACAAAAGATAACAAGTACTGGAGAGGATATGGATAAAAGGGAAAACAACATTGCTGAGAATGTAAATTGATTTAGTCATTAAGGAAAACAATTTGGATAATCCTTAAAAATTAGAAGTAGAACCCATATGACCTAAAAATCCTACCTCTGGCTGTACATACAAAGGAAATGAAATCAATATCTCAAAGAGATAGATATCTGCACTTCCATGTTCATAGTAGCCTTATTCATGACAGTTGAGACATAGAATCAACCATTGACCAATAAGTGGAAAAAGAAAACGCAGTATATATTTACAGTGGCATATTATTCAGCCTTTAAATAAGAAGGAAACTGTCATTTGTGACAACCCAGTGAAGTGGAGGATATTAGGCTAAGTGAAATAAACCATGCACCGAAAGACAAATACTGCATGATCTCACGTGCAGAATCTTAAAAAGTTGAACTCATAGAAGCAAAGAAAAGAATGGTGATTTCCAGGGGCTGAAGGGGTTGGGGAAATGGGGAGCTATCGGTCAAAGGGTATTAAGTTTCAGTGATGCAGGTTCTGGAGATCTAATGTACAGCATAGTGACTATAGTTAGTTGTGTTGTTTACTAGAAAATTGCTAGGAGAGTAGATAGATCTTAAGTGTTCTCACCACAGAAAAAGATGATAACTCTGTGAGGTAATGGATATGTTGATAGCTTGACTATGGTAATCATTTCACAATGTATATATCTATCAAAACATCATCTTGTACACTGCAAATATACACTATTTTTGTATGTCAATTATAGTGCAGTAAAACTGGAAAAAATAAGAAAAAATTTTAAATAATGAAAAAGATGCAAGAGTCTGCCTACCATGAAAGTTAGCCTATAGTATCACTCAAAATTTTGGAGATGTCTAAAATCAGACCCACAGTTTCTGGTGACACATTTCAATATTATGAAGTGTTAACTAAACCTATTTTGAAGTCAATGTATTCTATTAACTTACTCCCAAATCGATTAACTGCATTAGTCAAGACTCTCTTAGAGTTAAATCATAAAACTAACTTCAGTCATCTTAAGCAAACTAGCAGCCTAGCTTGATTGCCATGGCTTGAGAAAATACTCAGAACAGCAGGTGCTCATCTTATGGACTGGTGATCTGGACTCACCACTGCCTGGATTTGCTTTCCCTTTCCATTTGTCTCCAGTCTCTGCCTCTAATGTCTGCATCCACCTCCAGTTGGAGAGTATGAAATTAAGTCAAGACAAAGCCAGGGTTAAATTAATCAAAAGCAAGAAAAAGTACAAGAGTGAATAAACACAGAAATGGACCCTCCCAGTCTTGAAACTTTAGAAAGTTATATTTGTCTTATCTGAGCTCCTGTCTCAAGAAACCAACAATCAAGCCTCTCAGATAGTATTAAGGAACTGAAACTTACCAGATTACCACATCTGGACAATGAGACATCAGACTTCTTGCCTATCATGATTGCCTAGCTGATCATCTGCTTCCTGTTGATTGACTTCTCTTCCTTACCCCTCCCTAATGTCCTGTTTTCCTGCATGGTTACATTTCTTCCCTGCTACATAAACCCCTAATTTTAGCTGCTCAGGGAGATGGATTTAAGACTGATCTCTCATCTCCATGGCTGCAGCACCCAAATAAAGCCTTCTTCCCCAGTAATACTTGTTGTCTCAGTTGGCTTTCTATCTGGTGAGCAGCAGAACCTAGACCAAATCCTTGGCATTTCAGTAATAGTATAAAAGTGTCTATATGGCAAGGGAGTCCCTAGTCTCAAGCTCTGAGATTTCCAGAATCATAGTGGTTCCTGAACCATACTGATTCTTCCTCTGGTTCTGTGGGCTACTGCTAGATCCTTCAAATGAAGATCTGTTTTGGCTTATGCTGTTTTGAGTTGAGTTTCTGTCACTTGTAACCCAAAAAGTCCATAAACCTTTTTTCATTCAGATAAATCCACACTAATTAGAATTTACCTCTCTGAATAGTGCTGGAGAACTGATTTCCTGGGAAAGGAAATGTGTTGGCAATTTGTCATCAACCTAACGGTTTGGGATTTGTTACTGCAAGTGAGGCTTCAGGAGAGGGACTAGTATAAGTTATTTATGAGGCATAAAAATGAAGCAGAAATATCAATCAATACCCAAGGCAAAGTTATAAAGACTCAAAGTAAAAGAAATAAAGTTAATGATATGAATATGTTATACTAATCACCAAAGCTATTAATTTCCACGTTCAACAAGCATTCACTGAGAATTCTTTTTGTGCCAGGCACTGTACTAGGTGCTCTAGAGGTCAAAAAGAGGCATAATGCCCAGTTCCTGCACTCAATGAGTTTATATTTTTGGTAGAGGACACAAAACTGTTGCTCACATTGCAGTTCTGCAAAGTTGTAATGAAGTGGCCCATAAAATAAGACAAAGTAAAGAATTATTCGGCATCTCAAAGGTGAAGGAGTTTTGTCCCACATTGAGATGAGCCAAGATTCTTGGAGGAGTGGCACTGACATGAATATTGACAGAAGGGCATCCTTTAAACAAATAAAATGTGGAGTGGGAGGATAGGGGTAAAGAAAGGGTGGCTAAAACACTCTAAATAGAGAGAAGAACAAGAGCCAAAGCACAGGAGTTTGTAAACATCATTTTGCTAGGAGAGTGAGTTTTGCCAGATAATATAAGGTCTTAAAAATCAGGCTCAGAGATTTAGACTTTGTCTGGGTGAATGAGGTACCAGCGCAAATTGTATAAACAGAATGAATCCAAATTAATAGGACAATGGTAGGTTGGATGAACTGACCTTAGAAGAGACTGAATACAGCACAGCCCTCAGAAGCCTCACAACAGAGTGAGACTTTGTCTCAAAAAAAGAAAAAAAAATAGAACAGTATTAATAAGGTTGAAACCATCTGTGTACTTCCCTCTAATAACATTTCCCCTTTTTCTCTGCAAGAAGTAGAGATTATTCCAAATGCTGTGCTTAAAGCTATATTTTGAAGAGTTCTGTGAGCAGGTGTTGAGAGACTGAAGGCTGGGACTCTGGAAGGCTCTTTCATGATTTGGTGGTAAAGTGAAAGAGAACAATAGAACAATAGCTTGAGGGAAGTGCAGAGTGGAGAGAAGGTTTGTAATTTAGAATGGAGCAGAAGTGAGAATGTTTCCAGCAGAAGTCAAGGTATAGATTAAAGATGCAGGAGATATGGGAAGCTATGACTAAAAAAAAAATCTACTCTCAAAAAGGCCAGAATGGTTGAAAGAGGCATTTTGGGGAGAATTACAGCTACATTCCTGAATGATCCATTCTGGTCATTAAAACCACTCCACTATTCAATTTAATGGGTGGATTTTCCTTGTCCTTCAGGGTAAAATATACGTTACATTAGCATAAACCTTTTTTTAAAAAAAAATCAGTCAAATCTCATTGGAAATGTTACAAAGAGAAATGGTTAAAACTCAACAAAATGTTAAGAGAACACACACAGAGAAAAATGTTTCTGTAATTCCTTGACGAATTGAACTCTGTGAAAGAGAAGATTTCTTCATTTTTATTTCAAATAGTGACACATGCATAAATCAATTTATGGTCCCATTTTTACATTATTATTGAAAATGAATAAAAGCTACTTTTCTGTTCAAGATGCTACTCTATTTTTCTCAACAAGATTATGCAATAATACCTAAATTTTTAACCAACAGAATAAAGTTGGGTTATGGAACAAATTATTCATAGAGATAGGACTCGCTTCATAAAAAGTAGACTCTCGTGAAGCAATGTGAGCAAGGTTTGAATATTATTAGTTGCGCCCCAAATATTTCATTCCCAGTTCTGATGATAGTGAAATACATTGAGCTAGCATTTGATAATATTAAAATGGCTGTATGCTTTTGAAGGATTTAAAAGACTTGATCTTAAGAAACTATTTACAATATTCAATCGGTATGCCTCCTCACATACATCTTTGAAAGCATTTATTAAAATTAATCAGCATTAGTCTGAATCCTTATTTAAAGGGTAGGGTAATCCAGGACAGCATCTGTCTCCATAACTGTATTTGCCTGATATTAAATTGTTTCCATGCATGTTTTAGGCAAAATAATCATATATTAAGCTATTATGAACTCAGGCAGCATCTAATTACTTGTCACTAAAAATTATTTACCAGTAAAAATTATTTTGAATTCTCTTCCATCTAAAAAAAACCATAAGCAGTATATAATGTCATTGATTCTCAGAGACATCACATGGACATATATTTGAGTCTCAATATTTTGTGATTAGAAAAATAAAGTCACAGAACAGGTCTCCAAAATTGTTTTCAAACTGGTTCACTTATGAAACAGTCAATATTATTCATATATAATTTTCATAGGATATGTAATTGCTAAAAAACACCAAAATTTTTCCCATGTGGAATGATCATTTTTATCATTTTAATAAACATTGGGAAAATATATTAAAGTTCTTTTCTATTTACTGCCATTGCTCTTGAGTAAGTTACCAAGCACCCACAAAGAATGCTTATCCATAGCTGTCAGTAATTCACTGGTAGGTCCCACCCAGAAACCCACTGGTAGATCATCACGCACGTAGAAAAAACTTAATTATCATTGACCGTGAAGGGCTTTGTGAATGTATACTAATGACCAGTTATCTTCCACTAGAGTTTCTGATTGCAGTGTGTTTGGGGTATGACCTAAGAATTTGTATTTTTTTTTTAATGCTATATTCCATGCCAAAAGGAATCTGTATTTTTAAAAAGTCCCGGGTGATGCTAATGCTACTGGTCTAAGGACCACACTTGGAGAACTACTGGTATAAACAATATGCTTAAATGTATAAACCTCTAGGACACATATGCAATGACAATGCCATTGACTTGACTTTTGATGGGTTCTCATCTACAAATACAATAACATTCCTCTGAGTATCTTGTTCTTTTAGATATGCCCTAATGTTAATTTCAGCCAGGATGACACAGCAATTTTTGATGTCCTAAACGACTTACAATTCAGTGTAGGGTACTTGTTATCCCACTCTCTTCCTCTCTGCATTTGACCCAGGACCATGGGGAAGAACAGATGTCATCTAGCCTCTAATTAGAGAGTCCCTCTGAAATGGGGTAAATTTGTCTCTCTCTTTTTTTTTTTTTTTTTTTTTGAGATGAAGTCTGTCTCTCTGTGGCCCAGACTGGAGTACAGTGGCAAGATCTCGGCTCACTGCAACCTCCTCCTCCCCAGTTCAAGTGATTCTTCTGTCACAGCCTCCCACGTAGCTAGGACTACAGGCGCATGCCACCAAGCCTGGCTCATTTTTTGTATTTTTAGTAGAGACGGGGTTTTGGGGTTTCACCATGTTAGCCAGGATGATCTTGGGATTACAAGCATGAGCCACTGTGCCCAGCCAATTTGTCTCTTTTTTATGGATAAGAAACCATGTTTTGTGGTACTCCAGTGGCATTTCTTGCAAGGAGATTCTTTTATTCCCTTAATATGAAAGAAAATTAAAGTCCATTAGTAAGCAAAAGGGATGACTGCAAAATCAGGAATATAATGAAATCAATAGACTAAATCGAAGTTTTGTGGAATTTTATATCTTTATCAGTCAGATTCCTGAAGGAAATATAAGTCTTTCTAGATATTTTAAACAGACATTTCACATAATCAGGTGTTTGCAAAATCACTGAAGGAGTTGGAGTATCTGACATCAAGAAGTCTGATCTAGGAATCAGAAAGCCCTTGCCAGCACTGTCTCTCAGCACCCACAAATCTGGTGATTAGAAACTGGTATGCCAAATCTGGCCACCTCAACTCCTTCTAGGTGCACGTCTCCATGACTTTGCTCTTTCGGAGAAGAATATGGTCTTTACTTTATTTCTGCCTTCCAAAGATAAGGTGTGTGCATCTAACTGACAGAATCCAATTTGTATCCTGAACCCTAGTTTTAGTTCTTAGATTTCTAGCCCCTGCAGGACAGTAAGGTACTCTAAGATTAGGGATGGACACCGAATAAGCTGATACACATGCTGATATATTTCCATGACAATTATTCACTACCATGTGAAAAAGTCCATGTTTCTCCCAGTTATTTCCTGTTCCTACTTCTCCTTCTCCTCTTGCGTGCATGCACATTCACATACACACAGGTATGCACACACAAGCACACACACAAGTACAGCTGGGTATGTCCTACCTTCCTTGTTTCTGTGAGACTCACTGTCATTTGATTCCTAAATATTTGCATCAATTTCTATTCTTTTCATAAGAAAGTTTTCAAATTGTAGGAGACATAGGTTATCTATGCCTGTCCTCTATTTTAAAGCTTAAGAAGCTGAGGCCAAGAGGTAGATGTCTAGTAATTGGCTGAGTAGGGAGCTGAATCCAGTTCCACTGTTTCTCAATCCTGTTCACCTTCCA